CAAAGAAAAAAAACAAATAAATAAGAGACTAGAATACAAATCAATCACCTTGCGATACGTCACCAACTCAGCTCCTATGGCCCGTATTCAGCCCCCAGGGCCCCGTGTTAAAACCACACTCCCACAACAGCGGGAGATAAGAAATAAGAGCGTTCATGATCAAGAACACGAAACGCCCCAAAGGCCAAGATAAAACTCCCCAGGGACCCGCTGCCCCCGGCTACAACATAAAAAGTCGCCCCCCTGCGCGAAACGGGAAGCTAACCCCATCTGGCTCCATCCGCCCATCCCCCCTCGTAACAATCATCACGCCCGGCCCTCACCCCCCTCAATCTCATCCCCCTCCCCCCTTCCCCCAACTCCACCCTCAACATATCAAACTCAGTCATCGGCGGCCGATACACCCTCGTCCGCCCCGTCTTGCTCCTCCCCGTCTCGGCACTCGGCAGCACCACATCCCCCTTCGAGTGCGCCCTGAACGTGAGGGTATCCGCAAACAGGTCGATGCTGTTGCGCTCGGCGCGCGGGCAGAACCCGGCGTTGAGCACGTTGTTGCTGCGCGCCATGCACTCGACGATATCCCCGCTGAGGTAGGCGTGGATGCCGTCGGCGGGTATGTATAGCGCGTCGCCGGGTTGGAGGGTCAGGAAGTTCATGCAGGTTAGCGCGACGAGGGAACCGGGGTCTTGCGCGCTGTATTGGTTTTGGAGGCGCGGGAGGAGGTCCAGGATGTAGGCTGCGTTGCTGAGGTCGGGTTTTGGGGTGGAGAGGAGGTGTTGTTGGGCTTGTTTGATGGTGGTGTCGTCGGCTTTGAGGATGTTGCGCGTTACCTCGCGCAGTGTCTGGTTGGTCCATTGCGTGGTGTTGGACGGGACGAAAGAGCGAAGGGCGGGGAGCGTGAACAGGGGCTCAATTTCGGACAGTGGTTTGAACCCTGCGAAGACCTCAAATTTGGAGAGTGCAACGGCGATTTCAGGTTTGTGGTTTGGGTCGGTGAAGTTCTCGGGGTCTTTGGCGTGCAGTTTGGCAGCCAATTCCTTGTTGGGGTGGATTTGTAACGGAAGAGCCTTGGCGATAGACAAGATCTTGGGAAGGAAAGGCAGTTGGCCGCCCAGTTCATCGATCACCTTCTTGCCGAGCAGCCTTTCCTTATCCTTGTCGAGGACGTCCTTGAGCAGCTCGCCCGTCTTCAAGACCCGGGCAGGGAAGTCGGGATAGTCCCCGAACCACATCTCGGAATAAAATTCATCGTCCTTAATTTCGAGGTCCTTGACTGTCTTTCTGCAAAGTTGCGCCGCGAGTGACTGCTGCCCCCGCTTCCCCCAGGGGTAGTTGTTGCAGCTTCCGGACAGTTGGAATACACGGCCAGTCATGGTGATGATGCTGAGGTGGAGATAGAAGAAGTGCTGAGTTGTTTACTCTGGCTGATATCATGAACTTTATTGATGATGTTTAGATATCTTGTAGTCTCCAGGTTACAGGTTACTGGTTACAGGTTACAGGTTACATCCTAACCAATGTCGTCATAACCCATGGCGTCACCATTTCCGGCCGTGGGGCCGAGTGAGTGGAGCCTACGGGCCGGTCTTAGCCCGGAAGAGTGGGTCCTACTCCGGCTGCCATTCAGGAATCACCGGGATGGTGGCTTCGGAATATTACTCCCATAGGTTACAGGTGAGCACGAAGAGTAGACAGGTGACACGCCCAATAACCCGTTTAGCGGCGATGGGGCTTTGACTATGCCGAGCCAGGTAACGTATGGGAAGAGGCGGCCCCCATACCTAGCCTGATGCTCGATTGTAGAAGCGTCATTGAGTCCATCTAAACTCATTTCGTCTTCTTTTTTGCAGATGTAGTTTCTTTTACTCGGCCCTATTGCCCTTTTAAATTCCACTGTTTTAGACTAGACACGCTAGAGCGCTAGATAATTACCAAGTTCGGACTGGAGCTGCGCGTCGCATCTTGAAAGTTGGAACAGAGCGATCTTGATTGGCGCCATTGATGTCATCGCCCCTTTCTTTATTAATCGGTGCTCCACGCAACATCTCCCCATCCGAACTCGATGGGAACAGCAGTTCATCTCGACTCCGTCGTTGTAGACACACGGCTGCGACGAATATTAACCGGACTTTCCTCGACACTCAATATGCAATTTGAGAACCCTTTGACCACAGATAAGGGTCTGGGAGCTACCGTGAAGGACCTCCTCCCAGTCCCGGCCACAGATCCCGCTGACCTCGATGTTGGGGGCCAAGATTCCACCACAGTACCGGGGGATGGACCAACATTCTCCCATGCTCTGGCCACGGAAACACGTGATAGTGGGAACCAAACAGAACATTACGCCAAAAAGGATGTTCTAGATTTGGGGTGGAACGAGCCGAAACAAAAGATTGCCGCGCCCCTAATCTCCGGCATGGATAATGAAGAGCTCTGGCTGCTGATTAGGCGATTCAACAAAGTACGTGCTCCTCCGAGAGTTGGCACTAGATGCATCAGTTAACAGAGCCAGCAAATCTACGATGTCAAGGCCACTCCTTACCCGCCTCCTGGCGGCCTGGACCTCAATATCGCTGACGATGAGGAATTTTCACCTGACAAAATGCGGGCCAACATCGAGAGGCTTTACATGACGGTTGGCGTTGGCCTTCTCGCCGCTTGGAAGCATGTTGCACGACTTCGGTCGTGGCGAGAGAGAAAACGCACTACCTACTTCGCCGCGGCATATTTCATTGCCTGGTCCCTGGACATCTTGACTCCCCTTCTGTCTGCTGTTTTGCTGGCACTTATTGGATCTCCTCGCGCGCGCGAGATATTGTTTCCGCCGGTCCCGGTTGCTCTAGTCGACAGCAAGACTGGTAGTGTGCAGAAACCCATGGCCGGTGTCCTCGGCAGTCATGACAGCGCTACGGGCGCGCCAGAGAACCACAAAGGCGAGGCTGTGGAGCAGGAAGCCAGCAACTTTGTCAGTGGCATTGCTTCGGTTGCCCTAAGCAGCGCTGCGGGTAAACATCCTCAAGGAGATCCAGACTCCGATGATTATGTGGCTGTGGACGCAGCTCCTGATCCGACATCCCTCGCAGCTAGCACGGCCGACGCCAAGGATAAGGCGAGTGGCCGGAAGACAGGGCCGAAGCACGACAAAACGAAGGTCCCTATGGAGACGGTTATTTGGACCAAAATGCGGCCTATCATGCACACGATTGGCACCATCGCGGACACCTGGGAGCGTCTTGCCAAGTAGGTCCTACCCAATATGAGTACAGGAATAGCACAGACAGTACTGACCTTTGGCAGCGCTCTCTCTCCTATCCCGATATTCTCCTCCGAAATCTACCGTCTCCGCCTCGTCTCTATCCTCCTGCCTCTTTTGGCCGGTTTCTCTCTTTGTCGTAACTCTCTACCGCCTAGTAAAGTCTCTCTCGTTCCTAATGGGCGCAGTTTTCTTTGCCGACCCAATCCTTCTCACGAGGCTTTAACTGGCTGAAGCTGGACCATTCCCAACTGGCAAAAGCTGCTAGAGGCTCGCAAGTGAGTCTCTCGTCTCCTCGCCTCCAATATCGCCGACCAGCCGCATCTGTACCAAGTCACTAACACTCCCCTCTCTCAACAGCACAATCTCAAGGCGCGCCCCATTAACGCCTAGCTCACCCTGACGCTCCTCCGCCACGGCGAAGCCAATCACGGCCCGCTCCTCCACCCCACGCACACTACCCACGCAGACCAACCCGCCGAACTGACATCCCAAGACCTCGACACATCAGACGGCTCCCCACCTCTGAACGCAACACCCTCTGAGCTCAACGCCGCCATCACCCCTTCCCCTTCAACAACCACTACTCATAACCCCACCCCCACCCACAACCCAGCCCACCACCACCCCACCACCACCAACAAAATCCTCTCCCTCTTCAAAGGCACCACGCGCGGCGCCGTCAAAACCGCCATCGGCACCGACACGGTGCGCGCCAAAGCAGGCAGCGCGCCGGCCAAGAACCGGCTGGGCGTGATCCCACCCCGCAAGGACAAGGACAAGGACACGACCGCCACCAGCGACCCGGACCTGTCCTCCTCACGTGCAGCAGTAGCAGCAGCAGCAGCGGGCCCCGCCGAGTTCGAGGCGCGGCACAACGGGCACAAGGGCACGGTGTACCTGTCGACGGGCGGGGCGACGGTGCCGGTGGTGGCGTTTGGGCTGGGGCATAAGGGGCATAAGGGGGACGGGGATGGTGTGAAGGCGGTGTGGAGCGTGCCGGTGGCAGATGTGGTGGAGGTTCGGAAGATTGGGGGGTATGGGTGGAAGGCGAAGTTGGTGGTGGGGTGGTCGATGGAGCGGGAGGTGAAGGATGGGTTGGTGATTCGGACGGTGGTGGGGGAGGAGTATAAGATTACGGCGGTGCCGTTGAGGGATGAGTTGTTTAATCGGCTGGTGGCGGTGGGGGGGCAGAAGTGGGAGGCTTGGTGAGGGGAGTTGGGATAATACGATAAGTGAAACCTGGAGTTAACGAGGCTGTTCATCGGCGCAGAAGGCGTTGTAAGATCTTCTGTAGATTCTGTGTGTATGTTGGTTTAACACTGTGCCTAAGATAAGGTACCCGGGTACCTTCTCGCGCTATATGTATTAGGTCCGCGCGCCTGTTTTCCAACGAGGACCACCAGCCACCTGTCAGGCTCAGTGGTTACTGGCGGTGGTCCTCTAAACCCCGGGTAGTAGTTCGCCTCTTCCATATTCAAAAGGTTGTAGGTTCGAGCCTCCGGGGTTTCGGCGCAAATACCCAATTAGGGATTTCGTAACCGGACCACCCTCCCTCTCCCAGGCAGCTGACTTTTCGCACCTAACTGGTATCCAATGAGAGGGGGGCTGGTCGGTGAGCTTTTGCTAGTTTTTTGACCACGCTCGATGCCTGCCTTTTTCCCAGCCATTCTCTGTGTTGTTTATTTACCTACCTAGGTAGGTACCCCAAATATCCACTGTCACCATTCGAGATTCGATAACATCAAATGTAGACATGCTCACATGCAGGTTACCTTTCCTGTAAACATACATCCTTTTTTGAACTGGAGACACGTTTGGTACACCACTCGAAGGTGCGGCTCGCTAAAAAAACAATCAATCATCGATGACCAGTTTCCGAACGTCACAGTCGAGCAAAAACGGATGCACGAAATCCCGGCAAAATGACTGCATTAGGCATTTCTGTCTATCATGCAACCATAGAAACCCTGTCTCTAAAGTCCCCAGCCCAATCGAACAAAAACATCATTCCCAACACCATCATTAAAAATATTGATCGTCGTCAGAGAAGACTAACCCCAAAACTCGTCATCTTCCCGACGCACCCTCAAGCAAGCACCACAACCCACAAAAGGGTCAAGACCCCCATAGCCCCAACAACAGCAGTGTTCGAAATGCTGCTCTGGGCGGCGCCCGCCTCCAGGTTGCGGCGGCCGTCTTGATATTGCCGCCCTGTTGCCCCGAGGGCGGCAAGCCCTTGGCACCGGACGAGTTAGACGACTTGGTGAGGTCGAATGCCCAGCGGTAGCACGGCTCTTGCGCCACCTGCGGCATCTTGCCCGCCTGGTCGCCACAGGCGTTGTAGAGCTCAGACACCTTGGCCCAGATCGGGAGGATGAACGTCGTGTGGCGGGTCTGTTGGAAGCGGTTCAGATCGTCCGAGCCGGAGGTTTTGAACCGGGTCTTGAAGTCCATCTCCCCACACGTGTCGCGGTCCACGCCGCCCATCTTGTCGGCCATGGCCTTGAGGGACGGCGCGTAGGTTGGTGTGGGTGTGAGTTGCGGTGTGATGCGGGCGGCGACCTGCGAGCACTTGTCTGGGTTGGTTGGTGTGCCGGTGCCCGTTGGGCCGGCGGGAACCTTGGTGAGCACGAAGACTGATGGCTTTTGCTGAGATGTCGCAGTGTTGGTGGCGGGGGAAGGGCCGGGCGTTGCCCGATGGGAGCGCCCGGGGGGAACCTGGCTGGGGAGTGAAAAGTGCCGGGAGTTGGTCTGACGGCGGGGGCCGTGGCGACAGGAGTGAGAGGGAGTTCGGCCGCGGTAGCCAAGGCCAGGAGGCCGGTGAGAACCGGAAGAGCGATAAAGGAACGCATGTTTGTGAGAGTAGGCTAATCTAGCAATGTGTATCAACGTTGATGGGTGGCAAAGCTGAAGCAATGAACCAAAATGAGGCAATATTGTGGACTTGGAGCTGAAGATGCGAGAAAAAAGTTGATGAAGATGGAAGAGAGGGAAAGGCTGCAGAAATCTCTCTTATGCTTTGAAGCAGCAAGCCGCCGTTGCCTCCGCATTCCTGTCCCTTCGCCCACGCGCTTTCTTGATCTGGGAGGTGTATATTTCCCACTCCGCAGGCACTGTTGTCAAATCGACCAAATCACCACGAACCTTCCGTTTCAGCGAAAAAGATTCTGGATATCGCGCGGGGAAAGACCATCCCAGGAATGGGACTTTTCTCTCAGAGGTTAGCAGTTGCCCATCAAAAGGTTCCGACCTTGGAAGTGCATGACGTTCTAATTTAGACTGCTTGACGGTAGCCATCCAGCCAATTCTTCAAAGAAGCCGTTTCCTCCGTTGGCTGACGGATTTGCGCACATTCGTTGCGCAATGCACCACGACATTGTTTTATTCCTAAAATGGCAAGGCATACCGACCACAATTTGAGCCCATCAAAGAGTGAGCGAGACTCTGAACCAACGTTTCCCCCTGAATGACTAAAATCCAAACAAGTTCTCATCCTCCACATATCCCCATTCTGCCACGGGTTATTAGCACTCATCATTAGTATTTGCACCAAAGACAAGATCACGACGTACCTTTCAGGGCCGGCAACGCAACCATGCGCACCAAGCCAGGCGGCCCACACAAAAAGACAGCGCTGCCCTCCTCGGGCGGAAACAGCACCTTCTTCAACAGGTCAGCATCCACCAACCCCCTCTCCCCCTCCCACCCCTCCCCGGCATCACTCAACACATGCGTCACCTTCACCCGGCCCTCACTCTCCCTCTCAAACCGATCCAGCTCCCCCTTCAACAAAATATCCCCCTCACTCTTATTCGCATCCACCGCCCTCACCTCCGTCCCATCCCCATCTCCTTCCCCACCGCCACCTCTCATCCCCTGCATCACAGCCGCCATCAGCGCGTACCCCGGCGTGATGCCAGACCCGCCCAGGACCAGCGACACGCGCGGAAAGCGCAGCCGCCGCGGCTGCGGCACGAACGCCCCCGTGATCAGGAACTCGGAGTTGCCGAGGTACACGATGTCGCCCGTCGGGCCCCGGATCTCGACTTCCTCGCCCAGCGGCATACAATCGAGCAGGTTGGAGAGGGCGCCGCCGGGCTTGGGAGGGCGTGGGGAAGTAGGTTTTGATGGGTTAGGTCGAAGGTGGAGGGAGTGGTTGTTGGGGGGTGGGGTGGATGAGGATGACGGGTTGGGGGTTGGGGGTTGTTGTGGTTGGGGTTGGGTGTGGAAGCGGGTGGTGGGTGATTCGGGAGGGGTCGGCGGGTTCTTTCTTGGTTTCCTTTCGTCCCTTCTCTCTGTCTGGGGAGTTGCTGGCCCCAGCGGCCGCCCGCGCTGGACTTGCCGGTGGGGAGGGCATGACGGGCCGGGTCGGTGTGTATGGCCGGACGAGCATCTTGTCTTTCAGGTGGAAACCTACTTGGAGGTGCTGGCATGTCCCGAGGCCAAGTTCGGGCTCTTCCCGGGGGTAACTCAAACGTGTAAGTCCGGGTATCGTCGCTGATCTCACGCCGGTCGACCAGCTTGACGGGCACCCAGCGGTGCTTCTGCAGGGCTAGCTGCGCTCCTTCCTCGCCCTGTTTCTGGGCATCCTCTGCCCGCTTTTTCGAAGCTTTCTCGGCCGTCTGCTTGATGTAGTTGGCCGTCTTTTCCGTCACCGCACCCAGGATGCATTCTGCCACCGGTGTTAATGAAGGGCCTCAACCACTGGCAAGGGCTGCCTACCTTGCAACTTCTTGTAACCATAATCATCGTGAATACTGGAGAATTCTTCGGTAGTGTCGTGGTGGCACTTGCCTGCGTGAGACATGATGGCCGCCTCGCCACCTGGATGCCAGGCAAGCACGCTCGTCGCGTCGTACACCTTGTTGTCCACCACGATCCAACAGTCACCTTCCTTATCGTGCTTCTCAATTTCCTCGCGAGTGAATTGCTTCTGCGGTGTGGCCGCGTCATGCTTCGCTTGAGCAGTCCTCACCTCCTCAGACGGCTGCATCTATCTCCCTTCCCCAGCAGCGGCCTCGGTTGGGTGCCGGAACACCACCGCCGGACTCCCGTCCTTCTCGTCCTGCACCGTCTCCGTCTTGACGGTATACCACGAATTGTTCATCATGCCCAAGATATTCCACTTGAAATCCCTCGGCTGCATATTCTTGCCCGCATCCGAGCACCTCACTATGACACTCGGCGCCCTCACCAAGTCCGCCAACGCCACCTCCACCTCCCAAAACACCCACGCCCAGAACCTATTCCCATGCCTAATCGGATACTCCGGAAACTGCCTCTCCGCAAACAACCAACTCTCCCCCCCATCAATCGACACCTGCACCATCTGCGACCTCCAAGCATCCAGCT